TCTCGTTTGTGAGGCTAAAGCACGAAAGGGCCAGTCTGTTAGTATACATGCATACATACATATGAGCTTATCCTGCTGGGAAAATTCGAACTACAATCCTACAAAAATGTTTAATTAAAAATCTAATGGATTCAACTGGTTAAGAGCTATTGAAAAAGGGATGCAGCGGTGCGCAATCGACACTTCACCTTTGGTAAGCATGCAAAAGAGAATTAACGCGTATTATGTAGTCATGGCACAATTGCGTTTCCCTACAGGGTACTTACTCACATATGTAAGCAAGTAAGTAATAGACATAATTTGTTTATAATTGAGTTCAGGGCCGCACGTGGCAGCTTCCTTGTCGGAAGTGATCAAAGCCCGATAGCTGGGTAAATGAGGTTATGTTTCGCTGGCGATGCTATTAAAATATTCAAGTCTGCCGTTATCCGTATTTTCCTTTCAGGATTTCTTATTACTAAAAGGAATGGAAGTAAGGTTGAAAGAACGGGAGCTGTTTAGGAACCGATAATCTCTTCTACTTTTTACTTATAGCGCTTTCTTTCTACAAAAAATGTTGCCTTCTCATTGCCGTTTTCTTAGTATTTGCGTGTAGAGGCAACATTTTTCAATAGAAATGCCTATCCATTGGATGGGCATATCGATGCAAATACACAAAAACCCAATTATCCAATTCCAACTGCGGGCATTTAGTAAATGGAGACGCTAGCAGTTTATTCAGTGTACTCTCCGACCACTGACTTCGAATATATGTGCATATGTATCTACATTAGACCACGTAAAAAGAAAAAAAACCTGCAATGTGACCGGCATAAGACTTAAATTTTAGCATTCGGTAAATATAGTAATCATCCTCTATGAATCTTCCCTCTCTAGGAAAATTCTAAGAGGCCCTGCTACGATCGTTTAGTTTTCCCATAGGAATTTTGCGTAAGAAAATGAGTTCTTTCCTTTTGAACCCCTTGAGGCCTTGCATCGTCTACTACAGTTGCCACGTAAAGGAGCGCAAATTCGGTGTTGGATTCGTGGTATGAGAGAGATTCCGTCGCCGAGTACTGGCGTTCACCCAGTACCACAATCCGCATCAAAGCTAGATTTTTCAGCATCTCGCTCATCTGCGCCCATGCTCGACGGAAGAGAAGGATGAGGCGTCCAATGATCTCTTCTATGAGCGGTTGGAACGTACATATGAGCGCTGCCCCCGACACGATGTCAAAATCGTGCTTGGCGATTTTAATGTCGGAAAATTCAGCCTCCACGACGAAACGTCCGATAACGGACTGAGGCTGATCGACTTCGCCGGGTTCCAGCATAAGAACATCCACCAAGCTACATGGCTGTCTGAAGATCGCAAAACGAGAAACCAAATCGATCATGTTGTGATAGACGGAAGGCATGCTCCAAGCGTCTAAGACGTACGTCCACTCCGAGAGCCAAACATCGACTCGGACCACTATCTTATTGTAGCCAAGATACGCACCCGCCTCTGTGCAGCAAAAAATGTGCGCCCAACAATGCAAGGAAAGCTTAACGTCGAAAAGCTGCAATCACAACAGACGACCAATTTATTCACCACTCGACTCACACACCTGCTCTCTGAGAGCACTCTTCAACAATCTTACATACGCGAGCAGTGGAACCATATTTCCTGATCATTAAGTACCGCCGTCGAAGAAGTAGTTGGATTTCAGCGAGCCCGAAAGAACCACTGGTACGATGAGGAGTGTCAAAAAGCAGCAGAGAATAAAATAATGTAAAATAAATATTTTTTAAAAACAAGCTTTTATTTAACCTGTACAATCAAAGGAATAAAATGAAGTAGAGTAACAAAAGATTTTTTCGAAGATAATTTTGTCAAAACTGCACTAAAATGAATAAAATAAAATAAGTTAAGGTCTCGTTAAAGTTACTAAAAGCCATTTAGTGAAAGGGTTATTCAAACTTTAATGAAAATTACTAACAATTTGTACTAAAAGCTTGTAAAGCTTGTCGCGTGAATAGCAAACCGGCATTTAAATATCTGCATACATACATATACATACATACGTAACCAACTATACATGTACGCTGAATTCGCCGACAAGCTTTTTTAAAAACGAAGTAAATTAGTACAAATTGTTAGTAATTTTCATTAAAGTTTGAATAACCCCTTTCACTAAATGGCTTTTAGTAACTTTAACGAGACCTTAACTTATTTTATTTTATTCATTTTAGTGCAGTTTTGACAAAATTATCTTGGTAAAAAATCTTTTGTTACTCTACTTCATTTTATTCCTTTGATTGTACAGTTTAAATAAAAGCTTGTTCTTAACAAATATTTTTTTTACATTATTTTATTTTATAATTTTTAGTCCATTTATAAAAGCCTTGTATATTAAAAAGTGTTATTTTATTTTATGTACAAAATTTTGCAATAGATATTAAAATAATTCAACTTGCAATGAGAGAGAACAGAAGACTTGGCAAGCAAAATGTTGTTTGCTTTTGTTTTGTATAAACATACATATGTACATATAGCAGCAGTTAATTTTATTTAAAGAAATGGCGTGTCGTCCATTTCCGAAGTAGCATGGCATATATTTAGGCGCAATATTTAACTTCTTCTGGCGGGGCGACATCTGGAGTCTACAATTTGCTACAAATAGCTTTGCTACACTACCGCCACGGCGCGCCGGCAGCTTTAACAATTTTATAGTGGTTTTACGTTCTTTGGCAAATTACGCTCTGTTAGCCATAAATCTTACTATTTTTTGACCGCCTTTGAATCAAGACCCCTGGACCATATGGGGAATTCATTTATATTTCAAATTGCATTGTCATCGTGAGTGGAACTATGCTGAAAATTTCAAGTCTCTAGCTTGTCGGGAAGTCAGTTTAAAATCGATTGGAAATTTCCGCGATTTGCGCGGGATGACCAAGTTAAATAAAAGCTTATAAAACAGGCGCCGCCTATAGGGCCACGCTGCGATCGGGCGCCATATGGGACCGTTATAGGGAACTGAAGAAGAAAGCGAGACGTATTTGCCTCAATAAAAAGAGAAAGGCCGAAATACGTGAGTGCGAAGAGCTTGACATGCTGGCAGACAGGAAGAACGCCCGAAAATTCTACCAAAGGGTTAGGCGAATTACGGAAGGTTTCAAGATTCTGTAAGAACAACAATGGCGACCTATTGACCGATGTCCAGAATGTACTTAAATTGTGGAGGGAGCATTGAAAGTAGTGAAGAAGACGAACCCGAGTCCCCAGTCGATGATGATGGAGGTACGAATAGCGATTACGCGGCTGAAAAACAACAAAGCTGCTGGAGCTGACGGCCTGTCAGCCAAGCTATTCAAGTACGGCGGCGAGGAGTAGATGAGATGCATGCATCAGCTCGAATGCAGAATATGGTCAGATGAACGCATGTCCGACGACTGGAATTTAAGTGTGCTCTGCGCAATCCACAAGAAATGCGACTCCTGTCGTCGAATGAATGACGGTTTATGACAGTTGTTATGATATGGAACGATATTGGGACGAAGGTTTGTATAATGTGTGACGAGGAGAGGGTAAGCATCTACATGGATTGCTCTAAATTGATAACGAGATTGGGTGCCGGGAAGTGAATGTCAGGCGGGCGGTAAGGTTACCTGATCAGCGCAGCATATTTCAAGCATAGGTTTTTGGTATGAGGATAGCAGCAGTGCTAGCCTGCGACGTAACGATAATCAACTCAAAAGTAAACTGAAACGTAGACAGTCAGGTAGCAATTAAGGCAGTTAACTCATATGGTATTTCATCTAAAAACATCCTTCGCAGCCGGGAAGCCGGGACCTACCGGTCCATGTGTGGCTCAGCGCCACATTTGGTATGCAAGAAGTTGAGCAATTAAAATGCAGCAAAATAAAAAAAAAATACTTGCCATTGCCGATTTCATTTCGTCTATTTAGAACAAAAATCCATGCATTAGACGTCCTTGCAGTAATATGAGATAAAAAAACGTCAAAACCATCACGTAAATGAGGTGATTGCTGTCAAATTTTCTAGCAGCACCGCTCGCCAATTTTTATTCACCCCATAGCTGTCAAAAATGTACAATCCAGGGGTTGACCCTGCGTAACTGTGAGGTAAAAAAAAAAATACATTAACAACGCATTTATTTCGGTGTGAATTTGTAAAAATACTTTTCACTTCACGACAACACAGAACCAGAATTGACCTACAGAGTACTTTGCTATCAATTGGCTTAGGCCCTTACAGTTAATCAAAATTTGTTGTATCAGACTAACCAGTGGATCTGCTGTCATCAGTTTACACTACCAACCACGGCTTCTGCCTTTAAAACATGTAAATGAGAAATTGATTGGCCTGTTTATTTGTGCAAACAACAATTCTCGTGGTATCAACATTTATACATCTTTCTACCAGTTGTTTTATTTTTCTTCTGCGGCTCGACAACTATGCGCATGCGCATCAGCGCGATTATATAAAGAACTGTCTCATCGCGAATGTGAAGTCACTTTAATTTCGCGGCTTGCAGTGCGCAGTGCGTTAGTGTTTAATAAATAGCTGTTGGAACCTAAATTTTTATATTCGAAGGTGAATTTCATAACCAAGGAAATTAGTGCATTAAATAAATAAAGCGGCGTGAAAATTTTAATAAACATTGAAGGTTTTTACTAATTAAAGTGTAAATATGTATGTATAAAGAGAACAAAATGAAAACTCTATAGAACCATATAGGATAGGACACATCTAGTATACAGAGAAAATAAAAATGCATAGAATATTCAAAAGAAATGGGAAATAAAAGCAAATCATATATAACAAAAAAGGAACATCAATCAGTTTAAAAATTTAATGCTTTGGTGCATGCTTTTAAGAATAAGTTTTTTTTTTTTTTTAATTAAATTAAATTTAAAACGTATACATATATTTTTCTTTTTAAAGCAAGAAAATCTAATAAATAAAAGAAAGTTAAATAAAAAGTAATGAGCATATTTTAAAAGCAAATAAAGCAAAAATAAATGGCAACATTTTTAAAAATACATTCGCTTACCAAATTTCAGTCGAATATCACGAAAACTGAGGAACTAAATTGCGTTCAAACAGACACACAGATGAACTTGGCTAAATCGACTCAGCTCGAAGTTCTTATCATTTGGCAAACATTTATTTGGGTCTGTATCTTCTTCTTCAGGTAGCACTTAAAAACATTGGACCAAATTTATAATACCAGTTAATATTCATGAAAGGTATACAAAAATGGTAGAAAGATTATAAATAAAAACTAATAGAGATGTTCCAACGCACAATTAGCTAGGCGAAAGTTACTTCATTCCACTTTAATATAAAATTAGTTGCTTTACAATATTCTGTTCCATTTCGCAGGTTGTTGCATTTTTCAATTTGCAGCTCCATTATTCGTACGTTCGCGACCGCATGTTTATTGCTAACCTATTGAAAGATCACATGCACCAGAGATATATGTACCTATCAAAATGCTATCGAAACATAAAAAAACAATAAATAAAAATGTATGTTTTCCTTGTTTTTTGAACTTTAAAAGTGTACGGACGTGCGGTTTGCGACCGTTGGAAATGCCCATATATAAATAAAATTAAATTTTCTGCTGGTAAAAGATTCTATGCGTTTGTTTAATGAGCAGATGTTTTTTCAGTGTTTCATTTAAAATAAAAAGTTTAACCATATACATATATCGATGTATCGAGTTTTTTCTCTTAAATATCGAGTACGGCCAGTATCGACACTTTTGCAGCTCTATGACTAAGATTGATTTTTTATTTTCGCTCGCTATTACATTTCTCACAGCCATTAAGCTTAACATCTCTCACATAAATCGTTCTATCGGAGATATATATACATATCACTAAAAGTAAAAAGGAACTGCTTAATGATAGTAAAAGTTAGAATTTGTGTAATGTGGACCAGATATTTTCGGTCTCTGCCTTTGAAATACATACATACATAGCTAATAAAACGCCTTCAATGATTTAGTCCAAATAGCCTTCGCATAGAAGTATCGGCAACAATTTTCGCAGTTCAGTTATCAGCTTGGGATTTCGGTAAAAAAGGCTGGTTGCTCCATTATCTTCATTGAAAACTTTAGAACTGTCCTTGTCTTTCAATTCCTCTGGACTTAAAATTAACACAGAGTAGAGTATAGGCAGTAGTAAAGTGATGATAAAAACCGCTGTAATAGAAAATTAAAAAAGCAGTGGCGTAATCAAATTTATATTGCTAAATATATCATCATTATCATTAAAATCAACATCAACATCATCATTATCATTACGTAAGGCATTGGATAAGAATTTTGATATTTTCAAGCAAAAGCAGCACAATGCTTTTAAAATTAATATAGGCATTGTTTTCAGGACAGAGTTGCCAATAAACCTTTTTTGTTTAAAAAGGGGCGCTTTTAGTTGTGAGTTATGTTACGTGCATCTGAAACCAACTAACGGTATATAAAAAAAAAAAAACGTCTTTCCAAAAAGATGCATCTTAGGACATTTTGCAGTGATGCCGATGATGTGCTAGACCCCTATATATCCTTTTCTATGTATGTGTGTATTTATATACATATCGAGCCCTAACCGCCAAAAAGATGTAAGCGAAACTTTTTTCAAAATTTGATTTTTGATGCAGAAATGTTCCAAGAGCATCTAGATGCATTTCTACTTAAAAAAATATATATATATATATATATATTTCTTACATATTTTTTAGGGTTAGGGCTCAATATATAGGTCAATATACAGATTTTTGCATTTACATATATGCACATATATTTACTCACTGAAGTGTCTATATCGCAAAGCACTTATTTTTAAATCACAATATTTCAGCAATTCGCCCTTGTAATCGATTAATTTCAACGTCTCATTGAATTGTTCAAAATTCGATCGCAAATAAACGTCGTAGTTGTCTCGCATCGCTGAACTACACATCGCATATTTGGAGTAAATTAAGTCGACAATGGGTGGCGCATAGACGCTAATCTGAAAGTCCAACTAAAAATGTGAAGCAGTGTACCTAATTATTAGTACAATGAATGGTTCAGGTTTAATTTTTAATTCAGAATATTTACCAACATAAAATCCTGCATCTGTGATTTTTCATCGAATCTAAACATTAGGTTCTTCAAATGAAAGTCCCCATGATTGATCACAAGAACTTCATTTTTAATTCCGTTTTTATAGACATTAAACAACTCGTGGCATCGGCGTAAAATATCTTTTTCCATTACTTGAAATTTCGGCAGATATTCACTGAACTCGTCATGCGTCGTCAGCAGGTCGATAAAGTTACGCAAAGCGCTCTTGAATAATTCATACTCTAAAATAAACTCCGAACTGAACATTCCTTCCTGATGTTGTGTAACTACTTCGTGATCCTCACTTTGACCAATCGCATAACTCACTGCGTGCACTTTGGCTAATTTACGATATATGGCCTTCATTTCATCGTCTGTGGGGAAACGGTTGCGCATCACTGTATACCCATTTTCGTTAAGATCCTCTAAAATAATTATTTGACGTGGTTCTAAGGTGCTGTACAACATTCTAAAGTGAAAATAAACGAAATGGATTTAAATTAAGAAATTCCTAATGAGGATTGTGGTGTACTACATTGTACCGACCGGTTCGGTATTCATGCAATTAAAAAGAGAAAATTGAACGAACTTAGGGCTGACTGCAGTTCTCAAGAAAAATCAAAAGAAATATTTTTAATATTTCCGTTGCTCGAAGATAGCTTGGTTACAAACCCTTTTTCACGGCTGAGTCTAAGTAAGTAAGTACATTCATGTATGTGTGTTTATTCCTTACTTTGGTGCCAGCACAATTGAATCGCCGTGTTCCGCCAAAACCTCGGCAATTCTCGGTAGTGTATTCGTATACATATTGATTTCCGTTTGGAACATTCGTGACTGTTCCAACATTTCATGTTTTTCGTCGCCATCTGGCAGTGTTTTCACAATCAGTGACTTTGTCGAAGAGGATGCCTGCGATGTTGTTTTATATTCAATCTTGGCACGAAACATTATACTGGCAAAATGATCTCCCTTCATGCTAGCTGGACTAATATCCAATTTAATTATCTGTCAATTATAGTTAAATTTCTTGGTGAAATCTGAACAGACACTCAACGTACATTTAGGTGTACCAAATACCTTGATTCCATCCCCTGTTTCCAAATTTCTCAAAACTTCGCCAAAGAATTCCTCGTTCATCCATGCTGGCGCCACTAGCTCGTCCACGTTATATACACTCATGCCTTGGCTACTTCAAAATCATAACTGGATATATATTTTGTATTTATAACAAAAGTAGCAGAGTAGTAATTTTTGGTTTCATATATGTACATATGATCGATAAGATATCAGATAATGACATTTAATGTACATGCAGGAAGTGGTGCTGAGCCGAGCGGAGCGAAGATTGCTGTAATTACTGAGAGTTTCCATAAATACTACGTCAAGCTTTTACAGCGAAATAAGCGATCAACTAGGGGAACTTTATTTTATAAGTTATCACATTTGATACTATGCTAAGTAGGTAAGTACACAAAAAAAAAAAATGGGTTACGCCGCTTCTGCTCTAATGGCCTTATGTTATCTAAACCAGGGGTTCTTCAACTTTTAAGCTGATTGAACGCTTACTAAACACCTTTCATTTTATGGAACTCCACATCAAATTACTTACAATCACTTACTTGAAATTCAAATATGAATAAAAACTTTTACTAGAAATAGTATACATACTTTAAATTTTAATGTTAAGAATGAAATTGTTTCACTGTTATTAATTATTGTATAAAATAGTTCGATATAATGTCTGGAAGCTGTATGCGCATTTCTGGGGTGGCATCCAATTTCGACCTGTTGACAGAGTACGTTGTGACAGATGGAAGCAAAGTTAAGATGGCCTTTTTAGCCACTCGAAAACTAATACATGGAATCGAATCCAGTTTTCACCGATTTATTGCTGACTTAAAATAAAGAAAAATAAAATTTAGAGAGTTGCCCACTGTTCGAAAATTTCAGTTTAAGTAAAGTGAGGTCATAAATTAAGTAATGTAATATGGGTATCAAACTAAAGAGGCTTACGAGAGTTTAAAAATTGTGTTCAGTTAAATTTATATGATAAATATTTAATTAATACTCGTTTGAAGAAAGTGCGCAATATATAGGATCGATACTTGACTTACTTTCTAAAAAATAAAGAATGCTTCGCAAATCGAAAATTTGTTTGAAAAGCTCACTTCAAAAAGCTCCTTAAATGTATGTACGAGTATGTATTTTATTTTTCATGAATGAGGTCATAAGGCACGGTGCACATTAGAGCGATACGATAGTTGTTGAGTACATGTAAATTGGTAGGAAACGATGCGAACTGTACACACTTGCATGACAGCGATACTGCTGCGACATAATGTTGCATGCTTTGCGGCCGTGCGACACGGTTTTCTATCACACCGCACATGGTATCGCGTGTCGCATCGCAAATCGTATCGGCCTAGTGTGCACTGCGCGCATGTCGATGTCGCCTTCATATCGCATCGCATATCGTATTGCTCTAATGTGCACCGTGCCTTAGAATGCAACTCCACAACAATCTTTTCGGTCGTTCCATGCTTTTCAGGCTTTCAGCAATAGCTGAATTGTGTAGCTGAAAGCCTGAAAAGCTTGTTGTGGAGTTGTACACTAATAATTTCGGGAGGGAGTAACAACATAAAAATACTTTTAAAGCACAGGGAATGCTAGTTAGTTAATTTTTTGCGTAAGAAAAGTTCGTTTCCTAAGTCTTTCGTTGACTTAAAATGCATAATTAACTTTCAGTTCTTTTGTGATTAATTTTGATATTCAAACATTTTAAACTAATGAACGCTATGTGAACAATTTTTTTTCTCGTTTCCATTCTACGCCAATGGTTCAGAAAAGATTTGTTTCCATTTAGTTTTCTGTCAGAAAATTCCGGAGGCTTTAGTTCCCAAATTGTTCTTCGAGAGAAGGTTTCTTATAATTTGGTTCCCGTTTAGTTCTTTTTCAAAAAGTTCCGAATACTTTTGTTCCCATTTTGGTCTAAACTAAAAAAAAATTGGCTCTCTGCCCGAAGTTTTGAACCACGGATGCCTAGTATTTCACCCCAGTCTCTAATTTGTCGGCCATTGTGACTATTGTATTAGTACTTACTTATTTCTTTAATTGACGATGCCGAGGCAGACTGCCCTACCAACTGGAGTGACGCTACTATTATTTCTACTGGTTGGTGTTGATAGCCAGCCTGACAATGACTTGGTATTAGCATTCTAGTTGAAAACTAGTAGCTTTCACTGCGGGGTAAATATTGCTTACTTAGGTACTTATGTATGTTAACTTGTTAGTAAGGCTATAGTTACGGTGAGTATTAGCAATCATACGCGATTTTTAGCCTGTACAAAGATTACCGATGAAATAAGAAACCTTTAGTGGGATGCGAAAAACACTGGTAAGGATTTTCATTCGATTCTATAAGGCACATATTTATTTTTGAAGGACAGTTTAAAATATAAATAACAAAGGGCGTTCTTTATTTAAAAAAAAAATATATAAAGGACAGGGGGTTAAGATAAAGGACAGTCCTTTAAAATAAAGAACGGATGGTCACCATAGCTATAGTTAACGCTTTATAATTGCAGATGTTTTAAGTTGCATAAAACAGTTTTCACTTTTTCTTTACACTTACGCCAGTTAATGCTTACACGTGGGCAAGTCTTAACGCATATGTACACATACCACGCATTCATAACTCTGCAATAGATACTCAACAACGAAGGCGTTGCATGCAAGCAAATTATTGTCAACTTGTGTATGTATACGCGTATTAGGGATGTTAGTATTCAAGTGAATTTTTCAATAAATTATAAAACTTTTAAGAAATATGTATGCTGACTTTTTTATTATTCTCAACATAATAACTACAGCATTCACTCCGCGCTCTTGTCTGAAGACATGAAAGGTACAATTCACACAGCTTCGGATATTTGTTTGTTAAGTGAATAATTGGATAAAATATCTGTGATGAGACTTAATAAGAATACTGACTTGCTAGTATCGGAACTATATCTTGCTCGTTTATTTGCCAAAAGTTCTTCGACGACTCGGCGCCAGTGAGTCATTCGCAATCGTATGATGCAAATGCCGCATTATACTAAAGCCAACCTTTCGACATAAGCTACTACGTATTCCATATGAATTTTAAACGAGATGATGCTTTTTGAAACTAATTTACGTCAGAAATTTTCAAGTTTTTAAGAAGATGGCGCTTGGCGCCCGCGCATAAAAACTCACTGTAAGCTTTATGACAATCATAAACTTCAAAATTTGACTGATATTGTTTTGGACTGAAAATAACCGCTAATTTCTGCTTCCCATTTTCTAGGCATTTATAAAGACCTACACTCTAAAAAATTTTTGTTTAAATTTGCGCATATTAAGATAGGTAACCAGTTTCCTCTCTTAATGAATGCAAATTTAGACACTGCTTGCTTACTTTTACTTATCATATGTGTGGCGTAGAACAAATTTCAAATTTGTTTTTTGAGTTTTAAACATTTATTGTTCACATTTTCACAGTTTACACATAAAATGTTTAAAATTTCCTCTAAAAAATTTTCGTTTAAATTTACGCATATAAAGAGAGGTAACCAGTTTCCTCTCCTAGTGTGTGCAAAATTAAACACTGTCTGTTTACTTTTACATATCAAATTTGTCACGTAGCGCACACAAGGGGTGGGTTTTGGGGTTAAATTTATTATGATATAAGAAATTTTGATAGAAAAAATTTTCTTTTCCATTTCTTGTGCGTCATTTTGTAAGAATTTTTCTTTTTTCTTGAGAGCTCTTTAAAGTTTAACTGCGAACTTTATAACCTAAAAAAGTTTACTACTGATATGTACTTAATAAGCATTCGAAGATTTAATTTGCTAGCTTCGAATTCGTTCCACCAAAATGAGCTACATGATAAAAATACAAGTTCAGTTAAATTTTCGTTATTCGAAGTATTAAAATGAGAAACCAGAAATCGACGAAAATGAATAAAAAAGTGTAAAAATTTCGTGAAAATCTTTAATTTATTTATATCAAAATTCTTTTGTGAAATTTTGTATTACTTTTGAAAGTTGAGTGCATCTTTAACCGTTAATTTTTTCAGGATTTAATGATCGGATCTAAACCAAATTACGCGACGATCTTTAAGGTACCATCTTTCCGGTAAAAAAAAATAATTATTGGAATCGGTTCACGCGATGCAAAGTTATGAGGTGTAATAAATAAAAGAAGTAAAAATACTCCGAAGAATTGATAACCTCCCCTTTTTTGAAGCCGGTTAAAAATGTCTGAGTTCTTTGTAAATTTTATGTAAATAAAATGCAATTGATGATACTTTAAAAAAGTTTATTTATTTATTTCATACTGTAAATAAAACTATCATAAATGTATTTTAAAGAGCGAATTTTCAGTATTTGCTGATGATAAATATTTAGAAGTATAAACCCTTACCCCCCAAAAATATATTCCTGCCTGCGCCCCTGGCACCTAGTATTTATTATTTGTAAAAAATATATTTTTACTTTCAAAATGTTTGTAATTTTAAACATTTCATGTGTATATTTTAAACAACTCATGTTCAAAATCAAATCTTGAACATCTTGTGCGTATACTTGAACAGATTCTGGTTGAAAAATAAACACTTTACTGTAGTAGTTTTACATGCACTTTTTAGAGTGTAACTTAAGGAACGAAAAGTTCCTGAAAAATACCAAAAAGGTCTCGGAAAAATCCCGAAAATCCATAAAAGTTCCGAACTATTGCGGGAAATTAAACACAAAGTATTCTGAAAAGCCCCTAAAAAATCCAGAAAAGTTCGTAAACAATTTCGTAAGATGAAACACTCAGAATTCGGAATCCAAAATTAACGCATATTTTCTGCTCAAAAAATATCAAGCAAATTTCGAATTTTATTTGTTTCGAAAAAGGACAAAACAAAAAGTAAAAGAAGTCCAGTTTTTTTGAGATCATAACGATATCATATTCTACAATGGAAGAGAATACTAAAAAGTAGTGCGTACATTTGTTTACCACTTTTAGTTATAGTTTCGATCCTGTGGGTATCCTGCAAGAAATAGGAACACTTAAGAAACTATCAATTAGATTCAGGTGGTATGGCCAGAATCCAATTTAATACATTTGCCATGCATATCACTGGTATATTTAACACTGCGTTGTCCTTGGCTGTGGCTAATTGCCCCCTCTGCATAAGCTTGCACTATTTCAGAACCAGTGCCGGCAGCAAATAGAAAAAATGGACTTCAACAAAGCATAA